ATTTGGAAGAATTTAAGTACTTCACAAATATTCACAAGCTTGGTCTCCCAGTACCCACATTCAGTCTGTACAATCAGAAAACAATATACCAATGTACTATAATACCCCTTTCCTTGCATTTCCACATTAACTGTTCTTCCCTGGGATGGTACACTGCTGCTTGCTGCAGCTCCAACTCTCGAGCCAGGAAACAGCAAGGGATTTGGATTACTGGAGGGGTGGTAGGGAATACAAAAACCCCTAGGAAGCTTCAAAGGCTATCCTCTGGGTTTCCTGGTGGATGAACAATGGAAAGGAGGCTGTCTTTGAAGGTGGGCCAAGAGGAGACAGAATGCAACTTTCTTTTAGAGGTCATTGTTCTGCAGAGGGATGTAGTTTCACTGTGCTCTGGTGCTGGGGAAGCCAAAGTACAGGCTTCTAAAAGGTTCTAGACAGTTTCAAAGGAAAACATCTGCCTCTGGAAATGTTAGAAAAACAGGCATCCTCAGTCCAAGCCCTAGAACGTAAAAACCTGAGATCCAGTTATCTTAATTGCACTTTTCTGAATTTTTTTGGTGTTATATCTTATCTGATCCCAGCCTTCTCAGTGATTACTCAGTCTAGGATGAGCTTTATAAGTTTACCTAAGGTACCTGAATTATAAGATTAAATCAGTTTCTCTTTGATAACAATTACAGAAAGAGAGAAAAAATTAGGGTCAAACCCCACTGAACTGAAACTAGTAAAATCAACCAAAAACCCCCCAACAATATAAGCTGCTGTGTACTACATACACAGACAAGTGAATAACAAACTTTTATCTACAAAAATGCATGTTGAATGCACAGAACTTGGCTAAAGGAAGACTAAACGGAATCGTCAAATCAGAAAATCATTTAGGTTGTAAAAGACCTTTAAGATTGAATCCAACCGTGAACATAATGTAACAGAAGTATTAAAAGTATTCAAGTAAATTGAAACTCAGAATGCTGTATAAAGATTTATACTTCAATAATAAGCAGCAACATAAAAATAGGTAATGGAAAATAAAAGACTTTTAAAGAGGGAAAAGTTTAATGATGACAATCTATAAGGCTGTGGAATGGTATTCTAAAGGAAGCTCTGATAAATTTACCTGTCATTAAAACTTGGACTCACCAAGATTTTGAACTATTATTTGTGAAACAAATTGAGGAGAAAGCAACTAAATAAAAAAAAAAATTTAAAAAGTTACACTGTCAATTTTAGTTCTCAGACCTGCTTGAAGGTCTTAACTGTAACATCTCCCGTCTCCACCTGCAATTTAGGAAAAAAAAAGGCTAACACTATGTGATGACAAAAAAACTCACAAGTATCAACTGGGAGAAGAAACTGTTTGAGGAAAAAAACTACCACAACAGCAAATTATGCAAAAAATGCTCTTCATCTTTCTCATCAGATTTTTTTAGGTGTATTTTCATACTTCTATTTGATTTTTCATTTATTAACTTAGCCCTCAAATTTAAAGTAAAAATTGCATTTTTAATACTATCTTATTTGTCCCTAAATGGACACCGCCCATTCTGAAGATCATAAAATGAGCATCCTTAGACATACATATACATTTGTATTTCCTCATGGATGCACAATCAATAACAAACAAAAACAGTATGGAAGTATCTGGAATCTTTTGTATTGTCAGGACAGCAAAAGTATTCCTACAGACAAAGCTGTGCTGAAATGATTCATCCAGTTTTAGGAGAAAAGGTGGAACTGGCTGATTTAGATCATGCATGGGGTATAACTTTGCCCTCCATGTATAAAAAGCTGAAACCAAAGAAAGATGCATCTGTTTTCAGCGGCAGCCTCAAGCTCTCTCCCTGCTCAGCTGTGTCAGCTCTACCAGTAATGAGCATAAGCACTAATATCACTGGGTTTTGTTCTTTCACAGCAAATCTCCTGTACAGATTTATAAATGTGACTCTGATGGCAGTACTAGCCATTACGATTCTCACATCAAGAGGCTGATACACACTTAAGGCTTGGGTTGATTATCTATCTTTGAAAGAATCTTTCTCAATATTAATCAAATTGGCCTGATCCCAGAAGTACTAATGCCTACCACAGACAACACACACCCAGCCTTGATTCTGCCCTATAGGGGATCAAATATGGATCTAATATAAGATGCACAGGACCAGGAAGAACTGAATGTTCCAAACAGCTTCAAAGATAACAGTGAAAAGCAAGTACACACCGAAAAGTGATTATGCTTGTATAAATCCCACTGGAACTGTGTGAAAGTTTTGTCTGTGGGATTTTCCCTTCAGTGATAATTAGCAGGGCTGAGGAGACTAGGGGTACAGCAGGCCCAGCTGATTCAGTCCCACCTTCTGGTAAGAAAATTACACCCTACAGTTTGCAGTTTTCTGAATTCATGCTGTTTTTTGACTAATTCTACCACTAAGAGAAAACATGTAATTCCATCACCTCCCCCTACCCCCCCCCCCCCCTTCATTTACTGGCAACAAAACTTGAGAATTCCAAATTACCCTCCAGGATTTATGTTAAGTCTCCATGGCCCAGGCTGCCTTTTACCATGACATTTTCCTGGTACAGCAAGGACTCTAAAAGGCGTTTTTTTTACAGCACTTTGGAGAAGGAGCCATTCCAGAAGTTTCCTATTTTTAGGATAATCTCCAAGATGCATGATGCTTGACACATAAAAGTAATGCTGATTTTATTAAGACAGTCAACGAAATATCAGCAGTATACAAACAGGAGAGAAGGTGGCATGTCTGAAGAAGGTGCCTATCTCAAAATTAAAAGGAAGCCAGCTAGAGGCCAGCATCATACACTCACTTAACATTATTCCCAAATGACGTTACTAATCCCAAAGCACGATTTGTTAACGCAGCACTGCACTGCAGCCTTTACTTAACAACTTGAATCCCACCAGCAGCAGCCAGTCATGCTGACCTTAAGAGCTGCAACTTTCTGTAGGTAACTGAGGGGAAGAAAGTTGTTCTAAAACACCTCTGTACAGGGAAAATGACTGTGAGTCAAGCCTTTCTGAGAGTGCAAATGTTTTACTGTGTAACGGGGGCTGGCATGCAGCTGGATTCCAGGGCAAACTGGCACGGTGGCCTCCGTGGCACCTGCTGGCTTGCTTCCTCTAACAGCAGGGGTTCAGATGAACCAGTAGAACATGGACCAAAACAGCACTGCTGTTGTTCACAAGACAAAGCATCACTGCTGGGGCCCTGACATTGAACTGTTGGAAAGACACAAGCAGCTCAAGAGCCACTGGGTGCACCTGGGTGAGTCTGGCCACTCTTACCACCATCACCAAAGGTATTCACACTGAGAAATACAGGAAAAAATGCTGCTTCCAAAGAAACTCAGTCGCTGAATTTTAGTCTGTACTAGCTCCAAAAATGCCTTCCCAGCTCGCACAGTGTTCTTGAGATGGAGATTCCTTAGTGGCTTGAATGGTGAACTGGGCTGAAAGGAGGTGTCCCTGACTTCAGCCCAGTGCCTGAGAAGGGATGGCACAGGTCACAGGTGCAGTGCCGACAGGGAAGCCAAAATAAGCTGCTCACAGACAGGAGAATGCATACCAATCTGTAATGGAAACAGAATTCTGTTCCTCCCTTTTCCTAGAGACTAAATACTAATCATTCATTAGCCTAAAAAAAAAAAAAAAAAAAAAAAAATAAAAAAGCCCAAACCAGCTCTTGCCTGGCAAGACAGAAATCTTGCCTGGGTAACAAGATGAATCAAACCAGGACACTGCCAATTTTACCTTGAGAGAAGGAGGGAGCACAAATGGCTTCATACCTTCTAAAGCAGTGGCTGTGGGAACACATCGGCTGGATCAGGATAAAAAAAATATCAGTCAGATAGGAAGCAGAGCAATCTCCTGAACAGATTATGCTAAGAAATGGCTCCAGAGTTACTGCTCCAAGGCTATGAGAGCAGAAACAGCAGACTCAACTGCTGGGGAAAAAACAACCTAAACCACCAAATAAACAGCAGAAATCTTCGTCATTAATTGGTTGGAAACATTCCACGATGAGACGATTTATAGGAAGTATATTTGGAGTGCCCTCACGTAACACGTATCAAAGAAACGTTACTGTTAATCTCTGCCTGTGTGCAGGGGAAAAGGTCACAGCTAGGGCTAGCCAGTATTTTTTTTTTCCTTTTTACTTTATTTTTGCTTTTCATTTTCCCTAAGCATCGAGTGAAGGGCTGAGCCACGTTTCTGGGAATTCACCATCAAATGATACCGAACACTTTTCCACGTCCTAAACCCAGTGGATACTGCAAATGCTATCCGCCTTGATCCAGCGGGTTTCAGGCTGCCCTGGCCGTCCCCTCTTGCCTGAGGGTCTGCGTTGGCCCCTGAGCGCCGTACAGGCCCCCGAAAAGAGAGGAAGGAGGAATGCCGGAGAATAAGATCGGCCGGAGCAGGCGGGGGCTCCCCGCGGCCCGGGCACCTTCCCGCAGCCTCAAGGAGAGCCGCGGCGCCCGGCCCCCCCCATCCCTCCCGTGACTCACCGCCCGCTCCCAGCGGGGACACACCGCCCGCGCCGGAGTCACGGCCTCGGCAGCCGAGGGGGAGCCTGCGGCGGGCCGCGCTCCCACGGGGCCTTCCCCGCTCCCTCCCCAAGCGCCGCCACGCCCCAAAGCGGGCGACTCAGACAGGGCGCTTCCACCATGGGCCGCGGTGCCGCAGAGCCCCTGCGCAACAGCTGAACTCCCCCCACCCCGCCCGACAGCGGCCGCCGGAGGGACGGAGACCCCCCCCCAGCCCGTGTTCCCCGCCCGCCACTGCGCCTGCGCGGCGGTAGAGCTCTGCCACCACCCACTTCCCTCAGCGGCTCCGGCTGCCGCGCTCCGCCCTCCCCCTACATTTGAATATGCTAATGAGGCGGTTTACCGGGAGCCCTATGGCGGGGCCTAGACGTGGTCATGTGGTGCCGGGACGTGTCCTTCAGAGGCGGGCCCCGACCTGCCCAGGCTGCTTTAAAAGCGGGCGGCGAGCGAGGAAGCGCCTCAGTCAGAGACAGAAAGTGCCGGGGTGGTGGGGCTGCGGCTGCTCCGCCCGAAACTTCTGAGTAACATCAACAGGGGGAGGGGAGGGCGGGCGGCGGTGGAGGAAGGTGGTGTGGGGGGAAGGCTAGCAGCAGCGCAGCCCTATCCGCCTCTCCCTTCATAAACCAGCCTGTGTCGGGCTGAGCAGGCCCCTCACACAAAGGAGGGCAGGGCAGGCAGGGCTGCCCCCCCTTCCCCCCCGCCTCGGCAGAGGGGCAGCGGGGACGCGCCCTTCCCTGTGCACAGCACTCACAGCCACTTACTCCTCTCCTGTCCCCCGTCTTCTCTTTCCCTCTCCTTCCCACCCCCCCCGCGGTTCTCCCCTCAGCCCCCCGCCCGCTGTCCATGTAGCCGCCCGGCCGCCGGCCCCTCCGCACTATGCCCATCTTACTCTTCCTGATAGACACGTCCGCCTCCATGAACCAGCGCACCCATCTGGGCACCACCTATCTGGACATAGCCAAAGGCGCTGTAGAGACTTTCATGAAGGTACCGGCTCTGCCTTGTGAGAGGAGGCGAGAGAGAGCGAGAGTGACTGCGCGGGGAGGGGAGGGGGCGGCAGGGCGCGGGGGGCTGCCTGGGCCGGGGGCGCGGGGCGAGGGCGGGCGGGAGTGCGTGCGTGTGTGTGTGTGTGCGGGCAGGCAGGGACGGGAGGGCCGGGCCGAGCCGAGCCGGAGGGCTCTGGCGGCACCGCCGCCACTCGGCTTACCCTCTGCTTTGTCCCCCACGCCGCAGCTCCGAGCCCGGGACCCGGCCAGCCGGGGAGACAGGTACATGCTGGTCACTTTCGAGGAGCCTCCCTACGCTATCAAGGTAACCCCCGCTCACTCCTCCCCACCCCCCCGCTGCTCCCCTCGGCTTCCTTCCGGCCCCTCCGCGCCGCCGTGGGCCTCTGCGAGCGTCCCCCCCCCGCTCGCGTCGCCCGGGCTGCCGGCGGTCCGGGACAGCGCGGCACACACGGGCTCCGGCGGCGGCGGCGGCAGCGCTGACATCAACATGGCCGACGTTTTTTCCCTGTGTGGTGTGTGCGAGCAGCAATGAACTGTGGGGGATATTTATTCAAGTTGGGAGAAGTGACAGCAACTCCAAGGAGAGTTCAGCTTGGAAGGGGCGATCTGGGGAACTAGCAACTTCAGCACGAAGAGTCTGGACTCGGAAGGGGACGGCACTTCCCTCGGCCCCGCCGGGGCGGGGGGCGGACCGACGTACCGCGAGGGGGTGGGGAGGGAGGAAGGGGCGGGGGGGTCCGCATGACACAGGACGGTGAACCTGTTGGAGGTCGGCTCGCAGCGCAGTTTGGCTTCCATCTAGGAGAGGCTGTGCGAGAGCGGTCTAAATAGCTGTGAGGGTTGTGCATCCGTAACTTCGCTTTGTCCCGTGGAACAATACAAAACCTACCTTACTTGGGTAGGTGGGGGGATCTAAGAGAAGTAAATCTTTCCAGTCTTTATGGAACAACACTGAATATTATTAGTAAATTTTAAGGTGGTTTGTTAGCATTTGTAATGAGCTGCATGCGGCAAGGATGGCACTTCGTAGCCTCACAGGAAAGCAAAGCTTGGGTCTGGAGAATAAGTCTTCTCACATTTCTCTTTTCAGGCTGGCTGGAAGGAAAACCATGCAACGTTTATGAATGAACTGAAAAACCTTCAAGCTGAAGGACTCACAACTCTTGGCCAGTCCCTAAGGACAGCTTTTGATTTATTAAACTTAAATAGATTAGTAACTGGCATAGACAACTATGGGCAGGTAGGTTGACTGTTAATAGGTGGAAAATCATAAAACACAGACTTCCTACAGGCAATAGTTAAGTAGTTGTCCTAAGTGTCATCTTCATGAAATACTCAGTATGGGGGCTTCTTCAAAAGTAAGCAGAGCTCACAGCTGGAAAAAATGCAGTTGCTGCCTATAGTTCAATACCCAACTTCCTTTTTCAAAACTTAGGTTATTCTTCAGTTTGTAAACTGTGATATAGCTCCCAAGTTGACATTCTCAGTTAAGCTTTGTCTTTGTATGAAGACTATGTTTCAGAACCATAGCTGGTGAGCCTGGTTGGGGTAGTGAAAACTTTGCTTTCTCTATACACTGCTGTACAATCAGTTAAGTACAGTGTGGGAGATTGAGCCATTTGTCTAACAACATGGCATGTCCAAAAGTATAGAATAGAGCACAACTTTTTCAAAACCTTTCCAATGAGTTTACTGCAGCTTTTCATATATTTGTATAAACCTGCCTGTTGTATCAGTCTTGAGAAGCTGTGCTTTTCTAGTGTCTATATTGCAGCTTTCCCTTTATAAGCAGAACTTCATTTGAGGGGTGGGCCAGCATTCTCTTGCTCAGTAGTATCAGTTGCTAAAAGACATAAACTGAAACTGTAGATTAAACATGTTTTAGGAAGTATATCCAGTTCTTTCTGGCACTGGATCGAACCCTGGATTTTTTTTATAAGGAACATTATTAATATTGGGCAAAGTATATAGTGTATTTTTCACATGGGATGTAACATGGGATCTACTATTTGAGGAGGTGTTACTGCTCTTGGTATTTAACATGGGAATAGGGTTGTGAAAATAAGTCCCCTTCCTCCCTCCTGTTTTTTCCAAACCAGGCAGAGTTTGTGTAATAACACCATGTTTGTTTGGGAAAGAAATTTGTGTGTCTCATGTTGCATTGTATGGCTTTGCCACTAGGTGATCAAGTGAGCCTAAACGTTTTTAAAATGCCAGTTTAGTGATGAAACTTTAGGGAAGAAAAAAAAAAAGTGCTAGTTCCACACATGGTTGTGTTTTCTTTTGTTTTGTTTTCTGTTACCATCTGCTGTCCTCTTTTACATCTGTGTGCTAAACTTTCCCATTTTCTGATGTTTTTGTTTGGTTACATGAGCTATACTAAGCTTTGTTGAACACATACCACTGTAGGCACACATAAAATACTTGCCCTTTCCCATTGTTACTGATAATTACAGTATTCTAGTTAAACCTATGTCAAATAATTTCTTCCAAGTGAACCAGCTGTGCTTAGCTACTCAGTCAAGTGGGCAGTTGAGCTGTCATGACTGTTTTGACTCACTGGTAGTGTTCATTACTGCAGATAGCTGCTCTTTTGTCTGTGGAGCAATGATTTTGTCTGATCTTTTGGTTACAAGTCTCAGCCTGGGCTTGAACCCATCCTTGCTTATTGCATGTTTTTTGCTCTATTCCACATGTGGAGCTGGCTGTTGAAGAGGTGTTCATGTGTGCTGTCAGGTGACTAAATAGGATTTCTAACTTTTTTAGCATCTGCAAAAATAGACGAATATATTGCAAGTGCCAGGTCATCTGCTGCTGAAGTCACAGGCTTCATTTTTGGCTGTACTAATCAAAGTAGCATTTTTTCATAAACCAGATCAAATTCTGGAGCACTTAAATGTTCCTTCAGTGCTGGCAGGATGAGGTCCAGAGCAGTTAACTTTCCTCAAGTTCACATTGGCCTTTGAGCATTATGTCACATTATCTTGTCAACTTCCTGTTGTTCATGTCTGATACCTCAAATTTGCTCAATATAAACGGGTATTTAAAAGAACATGCTGTAAGAAACTTAGAAATTCAGGGTAATGACAGTGACCAGAATGCTCAGGTGCATTTGAAGTATTTTTCACTCAGAACATAAAGGGCTTATTCACTTTTATTTTTTTATTTATTTTTTTTAAAGCAGCTACAAATGTTAGGACCATAAAATAGTAGTTAGCTAAAATACAGCAGACACATTTGAAGAGTGATTGTCTTGGAGTGAGAGGAGAAGATAATTTTACAAAAATACAGTGTTTAGATGATCTTAGTTGTGGTATTATATGAAGTAATAAATCCTAACTTTTATTAAGCTTTTCCCTGAATACTTTCTCTGGCTTAACATCTTTTGACTGTCATGCTTGTTTTCTGGTGTATTGGCAAACTTTTAAGATATTTGCTAAGGTCCACTTGTTTCCTATGTAGAAACTGTAAAACAGAATTTTATTATACGTACCAATGACAATACATGATCCGAGCTTGATGAGATTGTGTGGTTATGTCACAGAACATAAAGACAGAAGCACTCTGTGTTGTCCCCCAGCTGAGTATGACCTGTTTGTTTAAATGGCAGCGTGACTTGATTTCTTTCAAAGTAGACCAGAGTTCTCCATCAGCTGACTTCCCGCACAAGAGTGGTGGCTGAACTGTCATTCTGAAAGTGAGGAAAATCTCCTGCTTCATCTTTTCTTGCAACATTAATGTTTGGATTTTTAATATGAGTCTTTATCATACTGCTTTTTTAGTAAATAAGCACTGACTCAGTTGTTCATGAAGATTGAGTTACCAAGTGTACAGCTGTATTAGCTGATCACAGTATTTCACATTCAGCTCTTAAAGAGACACTGTCAACACATTTAAATTGTCAGGAACCTGGAAGACTTGGAATTTTTTTTCTGATACTAGTGCTATGGTATGGCTTTATAAACCCTTTGTCGACCCTAAGGTCATTAGATCCATGTTTTTGTGAAAGATTTTTTGGCAGCAAAAGATTTTGGAAAGTGCACATATTTTAAGGTGACTGTTCCTTTAATTTTTGCAGCACTTTTTGATAAATTCTGTATTATATTGCTTGAGTCCAGCAATAGTTGTAGGCTTTTTCACCTGTAGTATGCTTTATGCTTGTTATGGTAGCAGAAGAATGAACCTTCACATAGGGTGTGAGGTTTTAGCATTTGCTAAAAATAGTGGTGCTCTTCACCTTCTGTATTTTTAAAGAAAGCTTAGGAAAAAATACGATATTTGGATGTCTTCAGGAAAAAAACAATTTAAACGCATTAAATTCAGCAAGAGCTCACTGTCATATGACAAAAAAAAAATTGTACTTCATTAGCCCAGTTTTCACTTGGCTGATTGACTTTTCCGCAGTTCAGCTTCTCCATTGTTTCAGTTAGTCTGAAATACCAAGCCTTTTACTAGCAGATTTTCTGTCCTCTTGGAATACACTCTTAAATCTTACAGCTATGGTTTGTTCAGCAGCACATGTGTAGTCACAATTTAATTGAATATTTTTGAGTGAGACAAATGTGTTGCATTGGATGGAAAGGTTAGATACTAGTAATGTCTTTCTATGGAAACAGAAAACATAACTATTTTTATAGTACAGTAGAAGTGTAAACAAGTGGTTGAATTGGGCCATCTAACTTGAGTTATTTGCTGTTCGTAGTGAAGTTTCTAAGACTGAGCTGTGAATCTAAGGTCGGCAAATATATATCAATGGTGTTTTGATACATGCAAATCATCAACACAACACTACCAAAACCTGAATCTGATGCATGCTTGAAATTACTAAAGCTCTTGATTCTCTTATGCCCCAGGTATTTCACCTTGCCTTTTGCTGTTTGTGCAATGAAGGTTTCTTACTTTTTTTTTTTTCTTCCAGCAGTATTGGATAGAATGAGGTTTGGAAGGATAAAATGTACTTACCTGAGCAGATTTCAGAGTGGTTCAGTTGGTATATCAAGGTATTTTTCCAGAATTTTTCAGGCTGAAATTTCATTTCAGTGTCGCAGCTAGAAACAGCACTGTTCAATAACATAAGCTTTTTATGAGCTTTGTATCTCACTAGAGTATCTTGCACATATTCTTCAGCATCATAATTATTATTGATATCGTAAAACTGGCTTAGAGATGAGTTTGACTTTTAAACAAAAGGACATGCTTAATTAGTTGTTTTGAAACAGAAAAACAGACTATAATGTTTCTGTAATCCAAGTAGTCTTGGGATAGGTTTTTTTCATTCACAGCAAGGAATAAGGTGCTCTCTGGATCTGGACTAATACAAGAAACACTGTTTTGATGACTTACCAGGCTGTGTGCAGTCTTGGTGAAAGCTTGTTTTTCTGCACTGTGTTTCATATACATACAAAAGCATAATTAAGGCATTTTGAGACAAACTAAAACCAAAATGGAATTCAACCAATTAAGAATATTTTAGGAACTTAAAAATATGCTAAGGTCTGGGAAGACCTATTTCTGACCTGGAAATTGGAAAGTGTCCTGCATGTAATAACATCACTACAGTTTTTTGGTTTGTTTTCTTTTTTTTTCCCCAAGGGTTTTCTTCATAACAACAGTACAATCTTAGTGTAATTGCTACTTTATAATTCTCTCTGAATATATGGTTAGACCCATTTGTAACTACAGTAGCAGTATTGCTCATATGTTCACACAATAAAACTTAGTGTTGGTCAGTCAACATCAGCATGCTTTCCCGTGAGTGCTTAAATACTGTAGTATTCCAAATATATGTAAATAGTATACCTAGGAGACCAAGTCTTAATATGGATTGTAGGCACACAGGAGCTTTGTTTTTAAGTAACACCTTGCAGACTTACTCCTTGCTTATGTGCTTATATGTGTGTAAGATCTGCTGAGCTAACCCTAACAATCATACATATAAAATGTTGTTCCCTGACTTTGCACACATTATGCTTTTGCAGTGATATGTTCTGCTTTCTTTAAACTGTTGAGCAATTTTATTTTTCCATTGTTTTTTTGAGACTTGCTGCTGGATTTCCTTGCTTTCAAAAGTCAAAATCCTTTGAGCATGACTTTTGTCTTGGCATTCTGAGGTCATAAACACTTGCACTGGAATGGCCTGTGTTGAGTGTGCATCCAAATTTGGAACCAAAGTTTAGGTTAGCATTTCCTGCTTTGTCATGCTGGTACAGTTGCACAGCGAGTTTGCTTCTTGTGCTGGTA